TGGCGAAGGCGTCGGGCGGGCACCGCAACCTCGGGCTGATCCCCGAGCTGGCGAGGCTGTGGGAGACCATCCGCATGCCGCACGCCAGGAGCTGGGAGCAGAGCCACCGCAGGGGCTACGACTGGGCCGCGAGAGGGAGGTCCAGCGAGAGGGCCGCCTGGGAGCAGGCGCTGTTCTGCGAGGCCACGGTGGCCCAGGGGCTGGAGTACGCCGTCACGTACTTCGACCTGGTCAAGTGCTTCGACTACGTCACGCACGAGAAGGCGTGGTAAGCAGGCACGCGTTCGGGATTCAACACGGTGATCCTGAAGATGGTGCTGCGCATCTACTCGATGACGCGGCGCATCGTGCTGGACAACGCATATACGGAGGGGTCGAGGTGGGCGCGCGGCAACGTAGTTGGAAGCCGCCTCGCGCCCCTCTGCCTCAAGATGGTCATCTTCGGGGAGCTGGACGGAAAAATCGCCAACTTCCCGCGGGCCTCGGTCTGCCTCTTTTTCGACGGCCTGGCGGTCGCCACGCGGGGCGCGAGGGTGTTTGCGCAGTACTGGCAAACGCAGTCAGTGCAGGCGCTCGTGGACATGTTCGAGCGGCTGGACATGAAGGTCTCCAAGGGCGCGGAGGGCAAGACGGTCACCATGGCCTCGACCACCGCGCTGCAAGACGGCCTCGCCAGGCGCGCGCACCCGCTCGGCATCAAGATGGTGCGACGCGCTGGTCACCTCGGCGTCGCCACCGCTGCCGGCAGGAGAAGACGAGTCAGCGCCTTCAGCAAGAGGGCCAGCAAGTACGCAGCGCGGCGAGGTCGCATCGCCCGCATACGCCGAGCAGGTGGGCCTGCGCAGGCGATCATCAGACAGGGGAAGGTGCCGTCGGCGATGTACGGGGTGCAAGGTCATGGGCATGGCCAACGCCACCCTCGCCTCCCTGCGGCAGAGCGTGGCGACCTCCTTCAGGGGTAACACCATGGGGAGGTCGTCGCCGCTCACGCTGCTTGCGCACGGCGCCGACCCCGCCATCCGCGCCAACACGGAACCGCTGGTCAACTGGGCCATGGCGTGGCAGGAGGTAGCCAACCAAGACGGCCTCCAGGCACAGCTCCAGAGTGCGTGGAAGAAGTGGGTACTACGAGTGGGGCGGGCAAGAGCCCCATGGCAGCAGGTGCGAGGGCCCGCAGGGGCCTTCATCGCCACGGTGCAGAGGCTGGGCTGGGAGACGCTCGCGGCGCACAGCATCACCATCGGCGAGGAGCACCTGGACCTCAGGACGCTGTCGCTCAGATACCTGAAGCAGCGCATCAGCACGGCCACGGAGAACGGCCCCAAGAGCGACTGGCTGCGCATCCACGGCGAGAAGCACGGCCTGGACAGCATCTTCGTGGAGCCCGTCGCCGCGCTGCTCAAGAGACCGCTGAGCAAGAAGTGGACGCTGGAGCACCAGACGCGGGTGCGCAACCTGCGGTGCGGCGGCACCTGGCCGCAGCGACATCTCTGCGACAAGGGCGCCGCAGAGGACAGCACATGCAAGGCCTGCCACGAGTACGAAGGGGCGGACCGCCACAGGACGTTCGCGTGCTCGGCCAGGCAGGAACACCGACGGAGAGTGGGAGGGCACCACATATGCCATCGTGATGCCATGACGTGGCCTGGAGCGACGGAAGAGCAGCTGGCGGCCTCCGAAGCGCTCCGGGGGAGAGGGCTCGCAGCGGACCCAGCGCTGGAGTACGACCTCTGGAACTTGCCCTCCTCATCCACCTGCGAGGTGGAAGGCACCTTTGACGGCCTCGTGCACGGCGATATCTACACGGATGGCAGCCTGTTGTACGGGGCATACCCAGCACTGAGAAGAGGCGGCTGGTCCTTCGTCAAGCTCGACAATGAGCACCAGATGGAGTACGCCATGTTCGGGCCGTTGGAAGGGCCGCAGCACGACCACTCGGTTTACAAGATCGAGCTGACGGCGGTCCCCCGGGTCTTGCGGAGGGCCGTCCTGCCTGTGCGGATCTTCAGCGACTGCCAGGCGGTGCTCGACGGCTTCGCGAGAGGCCCCGAGTGGGCCGCCAGAGCTGACACGACCCACAAAGAGGTCTGGCAGGAGTGCTGGCGGCTCGTGCGAGAAAACGGCGGGGTAGGTAGGCAGGGGATCGTCTTTTGTAACGTCAGAGCTCACGCCACACGGGCGGACAAAAACCTTGATAGGGCCCCAGCTGTTCATCGGGAGTAAACTTGCGGACGCCTGCGCTAAGCGTGGGGCCCAACTGCATCAGCACGCGGCCTGGTGCAGGGCCGCGTATATTCGGATGTTCCAGTTGGTCTCGAACGTTCTGGAATTCGCCGCGCACGACGGGGTTCTCGGTCACGGGCTCGAGGACACCTCCGAGGGCCCAGGGCCCTCTGGCGCCCAGGGCAGCCCCGCCCCCGCCCCGGCGCCCAGTGAGGGAGTGGAGAGCCCCGCGGGCACTCCACCGCCCTCACAGGGCCCCGTGGTCCCCCCTCCTTGGCCTCCCGTGGGGCTCGGAGAGATGATCCAGCGGGCCCAAGCCGAAGGCCACCAGACGGCGCGCCTTCAGACAGTAGTATTCTGCGGGAAGTGCGCAAGGCACGCCACCAGCCGATGGAGGGGTTTGTTGACCAGCAGTCCAGGGGGGAATCCTCGGGCCCTAGCTGGGCGTTCAAACCGCCAGAACTTCGGAGGCCTCAGACTGCCCAGGACAGGCCTGGGATGAAGGGCACCTCCGTTTTCGAGCGTAGTCGCCTCGCCCTCGGCCGATTCGACTATACTTTGCGAGCGAATCCTCAGCGAATCCTCCCGCTCCTCCTCCTCCTCCTCCTCCTCCTCCATCATCCTCCTCCTCCTCCTCCTCTCCTCCTCCTCCTCTCCTCCTCCTCCTCCTCTCCTCCTCCTCCTCCTCCTCCTCCTCCTCCCTCCTCTCCCCTCCTCCTCCTCTCCTCCTACTCCTCTCCTCCTCCTCCTCCTCCTCCTCCTCCTCCTCTCCTCCTCCTCCTCCTCCTCCTCCTCCTCCTCCTCCTCCTCCTCCTCCTCCTCCTCCTCCTCCTCATCCTCCTCCTCCTCCTCCTCCTCCTCCTCCTCCTCCCCCCTTCCCCCTCCCCACTCTCCTCCCTCCCTCCCTCCCTCCCTCCCCCCTCCCTCCCTCCCTCCCCCCCCTCCCTCCCCCCCCCCTCCTCCCCTCCCCCCCCTTGTTTCACCCCTCCCTCCCCCCCGTCCTCCCTCCCTCCTCCCTCCCCCCCTCCCCCCTCCCGCCCTCCCTCCCTCCCTCCCCCCCTCTCCCCCACCCCCCCCCTCCCTCCTTCCCTCCCTCCTCCCCTCCTCCCTCCTCCCTCCCTCCCTCCCTCCCCCCCCCTCCCTCCCTCCCCCCTCCCCTCCTCCTCCTCATCCTCCTCCTCCCCCTCCCTCCTCCTCCTCCTCCTCTCTCCTCCTCCTCCTCCTCCTCCTCTCCTCCTCCTCCTCCTCCTCCTCCTCCTCCTCCTCCTCCTCCTCTCCTCCTCCTCCTCCTCCTCCTCATCTCCTCCTCCTCTCCTCCTCCTCTCTCCTCCTCCTCCTCCTCCTCCTCCTCTCCTCTCCTCCTCCCCTTCCTCCTCCTCCTCCTCCTCCTCCTCCTGCTCTACTCCTCTCCTCCTCCTCCTCCTTTTCCTCCTCCTCCTCCCCTTCCCCCTCCTCCTCCTCCTCCTCCTCCTCCTCCTCCTCCTCCTCCCCCTCCTCCCCCTCCTCCTCTTCCTCCTCCTCCTCCTCCAGGACCTCAAGGACCAAGGCGCGCCGAGTCAATCCATGATCAACTGGCGCTGGAAGATGATCAGTCAGAATCGTCTGACTGACTTCGTGCACCGGCAGGCGGGAGGAGAGGAGACTCATCCTCCTCGCAGTGCACAGGTCCTGGGACGACAGGGCCTGGGCCGCCCTGGGCAGGGGAAGGGGGGGGCAGGGGCGCGGGGGGGAGGGGGAAGAAGGGCAGAGACGAAAGGGGGAAGGACTGGCCCAGCCTGAAATTAATCCCAGGATAAAGCCCTCTGAGGAGCTTAGCCCTCTCGGCGCTCCTCATGGGGGTCCACGATCATCTAAGAGGCGTCGGCCAGCACGAACGCTGGCCAGTCCGCCGCAAGAAATACAATCTATATATATATATATAGATATATATAAAGGGCACATCCGTTTCCACCACTCGAGACCAGTGCAACTTGCGCCTGGCACCACCCCCGCCCCGCAGGAAAGAACACAGCGTGGGGTTGGGGTTGGCGCATTCGGTGGTGGTAGCAGGTGTGACGGCCCTGAGGCATCTTTTGCACCGACATCCCGCCCCGTGTGGGACAGGGACATGGGCCGAAACTACTCCTGGCACTTTGGCCCTCACGGGTCTTGTCAGACCTCTGAACCCCGACTCGGAAGGGGGCCAGCAGCTCAAGATAGAAACCATAACATCCGCTAGAGAAGCATACTCCGCAAATCCAGCTTCGAAATCTGAGACTTCACTCGGGCTCAACGAGTGGGCAAGAGCTCCCTGCTTGGCCCAGTAGTCAACCGCGGTGGAGCCAGAGATGGCACACCTGTCTTCAAAATCAGTAGCACTCTCCAAGGACCGATGCGCTTTGACCTTGGTCAGCGTGGGCCAGACTTTGCAGGTCCGACTAATCTCCCGCCAGAAAAAAATAGTCTCGAGGATTCTTGCAAAACCTTTTCAGGAGACCTCGCACCACCCAGCAACGCCGCACAATCCACAGGCACAGGTTTGGGAAGGACCTCGGATTGGTCGCTGGTCCGCTGGTCCGCTTGTCTGTCTCTTCTGGTTCGCCCCCGCCCTTGGGCCCAGCGCGCGGGCCCGGCGCAAGCGGCGCTCAAAGTTCTGCCTGCGCGGGCATTTTAATGCCTTCGGCGTTCAATTCTGCGGCCCAGGATGCAGAGTACTCTGTGCTTCAATTTTCGCCTGGCTTCTGCTGCGATCGCATCCGTCAAGCGACTCTCGACGCGTCTGGCGCGATGTCGTCGCGGCGCCTCGAGGGCGCCTGGCAAGCGCCTCTGCATCGGGCCCCTGTCCGTCGCCCCCTTGCTAAACGAGAGTCTCAGACGCGGCCCCTCGCCATAAGAACGCCGCGCGGTCGCTGGCGGGAGGGGCCCGTTGGCCGCGAGCTCGCATGTTCGCCCACGGCAAGAGTCAGCACGGTCGACGCCTTCTTTGCGGGACGAGGGGCGGCAAACGTCTGCGCGCGCAGCGCATACGTCGCGAAGGGCGCCCCCAGTTCCTCCTGGAGGCGGCTAGGAGAGTCAGGGACAAAAGCGAGGTGCAAGGCGAACTCTGTCGTCGCTGCCTCTTCCCCCCTCCCCCCGCTGCTTCCAGAAGCCGGAGGCTAATTCGGCATCTCGGGTGTCGCGCCAGGGCCCCTGTGGGCCGGAAGATTTCGGGGGCGGTTTTCGTCGACGGCAGCGCGTTTCACGCCGCCTCGGCAGGTCTCTCGCGGCGTGGATGGGCCATGGTCCAAGTGGGCCCTGCGGGGAACCTCACTGGCGCGGCACGCGGCGTCGCCCCCCCCCCCCCCCCCCTCTTGCCCCAGAGCAGCCTGCGAAAGACGCGGAGCACTACGCGTTTCATGCCCTGTCTGATGCAGCAGAGTCTGATCCAGACAGCCCTCTTGTCGTCCACTGTGATTGCATAGGTTCTATTGGCTGCGCTTCGAATGTGGGGGCTGGGCTTGATCTCAGCAACCCTCGCCGCCACCTCCGGGTGCAGTGGCGGGCCGGGGCGGGCAAGGATGCTCGCGCGCAGAAGGCCCGTGCCCATGTCAGTCTGACGTCTGCGACAGACCACCGCAAAGAGCGGTGCATCCGCGGGAACCGCCTCGTAGATTTCTGGGCCAAGAAGGGCGCCAAGCTCTGGGCCGCCCCGCCCCAAGAGGTGCTGTTCAGTGAAGGCGTGGAGACACTCGCCGTAGCAGCGTCGCGATGGCATGCGAGGGCCCAGCACATGTTTGGGGCCCCTGAACGTTCGGACTCGCAGGTGGCGGCTGGAACCTCGGAACTCGCAGTCGATTTGAATGCCACATCTGCGGGCAGGATGTTGCTGGCCGAGTGCGACGCGGAGGGGGTGGAACCATATGCTGATGGGTCCCTTCGCCCCCTCCACCTCCTCGGCCTCCCGCACGCCTGCTACTGCTGCCCCTCCTCCTCTGGAGCCTTTCGGCACCATTAACTTTGAAGGAGCCCCGTGGGCAATCAACGGCCATTCGGTCGTCCAGGCTTCGGTGGTGACTGCTCCCGGGGGGGCCTGAGATTGAAACGGGCACGAATGCTTTCTTCTGCATGCAATGCGGAACTTCGGTAGGTGAGCGCTGCTCCAATGGAGTGGGGCTCGACGCGGCCTGCCAGGGGAGGGGCGCCCCGGGTCTCAGGACCCAGAGAGCCCGCCTCAGGCATGGTCAAACCGACTGACGCGGTGCTGGAGGCCTGCCGCGCGCCCTCGCAAGCGCTGCGAGATCATTGGTGCGCGCGCCTCCCGTCCTTGGCCGCCGGCGGCGGCTTCGAGGACGCGCGGGGGCACCGTGCTGAATCTTCGGGGGGCGGCGCTGGGACTGGGAGCGGGTCGGCGGGATATGGCTTCCAGTTCGCTCCTCTTTCATTGACCAGGGGGTCACCGTCTGCATGGTTTCGCTGACCCGTCATCGGCTGTGAATTTTAGCACCGAGTACAAGGGCCTGCACGCTGCAGAGGTCGACACTTTCGAGGTCTAGAGCTTCGAAGATTGGTGAGTTTTGTGACGCGCCCAGTGTGGCGAGCGAAGGGTTCCCCCTCGAGGTAGTCTCCAAGTCTCTAAGCCTCCTCCTCCTTCTCCTCCGCCTCCTCCTCCTCCTCCTCCTCCTCATCATCATCATCAGGATCATCATGATCATCATCATCATCACCACCATCATCATCATCATCATCATCATCATCATCATCATCATCATCATCATCATCATCATCATCATCATCATCATCATCATCATCATCATCATCATCATCATCATCATCCGTCGCCCCCTCCTCCTCCGCATCATCCTCCTCCGTGTTCCTTACACGTCACTCCTCTCAGTCGGACCCCCGGGCGTGTCGCTAGGGCGGGCCGG